AACTCAGTGCCCCCCTCAGAACAGAATAATCTGTGACTGTGGGCGGTTTGTGTGCTTGACGTCCATGAACACTCCTTTCAAGTAAAATATAGGCTTCTTTGAATATTTTAAATGGCCGGCACTCAGTAGCTGCTGGCAGCATGTCTGAAATGCATGGTGGTAAGAGTGTAGATCGATAGATAGATGCCCTCCTCAGCAGGTGTAATTCTTAGCTCGTGTATTTTCCCTTGTGTGCTGTAGTGTTGTCTGATGTGCTAGATTACCCTCTATCGCTGCACTTCATAAATCTACTTCAAGACTCTTCACTTAGCATTGTGGGTAAATCCATCAACCTTTGTGGTGCTGTAGTGGCCCATCTGAGGAAATCTAATGGATTTTTACTGGCACCTAAAGTGCTAAAATGCAGGTTGGTCGTTTACTGCAAGCTATTTTTCTTCTTCATGAGACATTCAGTGTGTATCGTATTAACTTCTGTAATATTACTGTACTTAGTTTGACACCATGAGAAATTCTTACTACTTGTTTCACTGTTGATAATAGTCTATCAATTATTTCCTGCATGCCAAGACTACTAAACACAGACCTTTTAACCTTCTGCCACACATAAACAAAGACATTACATTTGATATCCCACTGTTCTCTGTATAATAGGAACTACGTGTTTCTGTGAAATGATGCAATGAAAAAAGCTTACAATAGTGTTCAGCCACTTCTGGTTTGAACCTTGCTCTTCGTAATGATATAAAGCAAATGATATACATGAAGTCAGCTGAAATATGCCTGACTGGTAATAATGGTTCAGATAGTTCCCTCTTAGCTCTTAAGGGTAAAGATGCTAAGGTCTTTTCCTGCTGTGTATTGATTGAATTGCAGTCTGAGCTGTGGTCTGGAGCACATTTGGGTTCTGCACACTGTTGTTTTCAGCTGGTTTCCACATGATGGATCAGTGAATCTCAGCTAAGACAATGCTGGGCTCTCCTGTCCTGTGCTATATAACGATAGATAGATAGATAGATAGATAGATAGATAGATAGATAGATAGATAGATAGATAGATAGATAGATAGATAGATAGATACATTCATATAGATTCATAGGTTCATAGATAGAGAGAGAGAGAGTAGATAGATACATAGATAGATTCATAGATTCATATACTGTAGATTCATAGATAGAGAGAGTGTGTAGATAGATAGATAGATAGATAGATAGATAGTAGATAGATAGATAGAAAAAAGAAAGAAAGAAAGAAAAATTCATAGATTCATATAGATTCATAGATTCATATAGATTCATAGATAGAGAGAGAGAGACTAGATAGATTCATAGATTGATAGATTCATAGACTGATAGATAGATAGATGGAGAGAGAGAGAGACAGAGTAGATAGATAGATAGATAGATAGATAGATAGATAGATAGATAGATAGA